TGGTGTGATCATACTTACAGTAGCATGGCAACGTGAGCAAACAACACACCAACCGTCTTCCAGATTTTGATTCAAATACTGCTGAATCGTGATTGGTGCATGGACACACAAAACCAGTTCAATGAGCTCAGACATCCCTCAAACTGCAGTAAGAAGCCGATTGAGAAAAATGAGGATACGGCGCCACATTGTCAGTCCGCAGTACTCTAATCTTCACACGACCAACTCTGTAATCAATCATACAACCTTCTCGATGAGGTTAACGCTGCATATTCAGTCATGAACACTGAAGGATATAGAGATATATTTAAGATTTTAAAGTTTTCAGGGGCTTCATGTTTCAGTTTGCTTTAACTCTCTTTGTTATATCTCAAAGACAAACTTGAAATCAAACAAGTTATGGACATGATGGGTAGTTGCTGCTCTATGTTTGCAAGACTAGTCTGGCCAGGGAAAGTGAAAAAGACATCCCCCCAGAGACTCCCGGTCCCATTACAGTGACCTCTACACTCCTCCCCTCTTTCAATACGGCTGCTCTGGTCACTTCGCTGAAGCTTTCGGACATCTGGTAGACGGGTAGAGTCCATGGAACGTTCACAGCCCCAGTATGCAAGATCTATTTAGGGAATAACTGTAGATGGTGGAAATATTGTTTTATGATGTGAGACAAAGTCTTGCTTCCCTCAGTGAGGAGGAAATGGTCCAAAGGAAAAGAAAAGGCACAGGGAGGAATTGATATCCCCTTATTGGAAAAGCAGTTGTGAGAGACTTCACATAAAGATATTTCCATATCTGACACCTGCAGTGAAGTCCCTCCTCATCTTCAAGCTAGGTGTTCCACTAGAGTTAGTTTATAGAGGGTCTCTGTCCCAGGGAAGGGTTTTCCAACGTCTTCAGCTTTAGCCCTTAATGAAGCAATATCTCCTTGTGATGTCTCTAAGGTTACTAACGTCGATTTTTTTTTGTTGGCTTTTCACAGTATTTTTAAAACGTGGTCAATATTAGATTACAGTGTGAACTGTTCAAAGTCTTAAACGCATGTGCATTTGCAAAACAACAATAATGATCACACACAGTGGTATGGAAGTAACCCCAGAGGGCACTGATGTCAGCACTTGTGGTTTCATTTAGAAGTGGATGTGAAGTGGAAGGATAAGGAGGACAGAGATGAGGAGAAAGGAAGCAAAATGTCTATAACTTTTTGTGGCGTATTGGCTGCAACTTCTTTATGGAGGTCTGTGTGTAAATGTGGAGTCGGAGCAAATTCATCTTCAGACAAAAGTTGGCATTCTTTGCTAAGAAAAGCCTTTGTTAAGGGACTAGGTGCTCAACCCATTTAGCTGGTACCAAAAATGGACAGAAACTTTAAGAAATGTTTGAGTTTGAGAAGTGTTACAAAAGCTACAGACGTGGAGCTCTGGCAGTTATCCTAAAGCCACAGGTCAAAAGAGGTTTATAAAGAATACAATACATCCAAAACTGACAATGAACAGAAATGACTTCACATACGAATGTAGGAGAAAACCTTTTCACATTCAATATAGAAGCTAAAAACCAAGTGGACATGACTGAAGCTGTTGACTCTACATCCTACAGGTGGTGACAACTGTATCCTCTGTAAATCCTGTGTGTCTAATTTTGCCTGCAACAGATGGTTTCATTTGGCAGTCTCAATCACAAAGCCACAGTCAGTCCAAGGTGTGTGTGTCTGTGTGTGTGTGTGTCAGGACTGATGTAAAAACAATAAAGAGTTCATGATGTAGGCGGCTATGTGACGGCATATATACTGACATCTGTTTGGTATCCAGGCAACAGTTTCCCGGGCGCGGCCCAGTACAATGGCACACGGATGTTTCCATAGTAAAAATTTAAAGTGATATAAGTGGGGAAAAATGGTGGTTCATATTTTAATATCATAATTAATCTGATGACATAGCGTTGCAATTGAAACCTTCCTAGGAATATCAAGCAATGCTACCGTACCTGTCTTACAATGAAACCGTGACACATTCTTCACAAGTGATGTAAGACTGAAACTGTGCAGTTGGCCCATGACATTCTTCCTGCTATCAGTCATTATGTTTGGATATGTGTGTGAAGTGACATTAAGTGTACTAACTAAGCTTTCACCCTCCAGTCTATTTCAAATACAGTAGGACTGCAGTGCTTCTAGTTTTACCTTCTCTGTAAAGTGAAGGCTGCTGTATAAACTGACAATGAATTGACAGAATAATATTACAGTAAAAATATGTCTTCATGGCATAGAGCTGTGTACAACTACATTAGTGTATTATACATATTTGCAACTATTATATAAATACTTAATAGGGGGGCTCAAAGTAAAGTGTTACCAACAAATGCACTCTAAACACCTACATAATATAATTTAGAATAAAATATGTGTTTTTTACAACCACCATTATGACTGATGTTAAACTACAGTAGCGTAGGCCGACTTTATTCAGCTATGGACAGCTCACACAGGACAGGAGGCAGATTTATTCCTAATAATAAGATTATTTGCCATTGATGGTTGAATGGAACCGGTTCAAAAACTAAGCTAACTTGATGGAAAATGGGGAATCTGGGTCCACACTACTCTTCCTAGTCATTCCCGTTTAGAGCCACAATAACACTTACTATCTTGCCATCACAGTTTAGCTTGTAACTAGTCATGAATGTATGATTGCTCTACATGCATGAACAGGGGACCATGCAGTGGACTGATATTGAAACAAAATATTATAGGAAATGCAAAACTTATTGAAAATGACATTTCATCGGTTTGTAGCATACCACTAGAGGCTGCTTGTGTAGCACCTGTGGTACCCGTACCATAGTTTGAGAACCAGAGTACTACAATATTTGTCCTGTCTCAGAACATTATGTCTATTTTTCCTTTTGTTGTACAGTTGTTTTATGAAAAAGTCCTTGAAAATGATCAATAAATAAAGCAAGACCAAGACAACCATTAGCTAATGTGTTATAATATTGTGGTTGTGAGGGTTTCCAATACAATTTCTAATTACCTGTTAAAAATGTAGTCAGTAATGTAATCTAAGTACCACAATATTGAAGTAATGTAACTTTTTTTTACTTTCTTAGATTACTTTAACACCAAATATGGAAATAAAGACAAGAGAAAAGCAAGATTTTTAGCATAATGTGTCCTCTCCTCTGTGTAAACTGATGTATTTTAAAATTGTAATCCTACTATCTCCATTTTTAAATGTAGCTTTTTCCTGTAATGGATTACAGTTACATTGTTTTGTATCCTAATTACATAACTCATTCATATGTAACTCATTACTCCCCAAACCTATACATTACATCATATTGTAGTGGTTATTTTATCATTTAATCCAACCTCAGATGCAATCACGTATTCCTCTCCTTCCAATTGACATCTGACCAGAAGAGTACACCTCATATAACTTTAAAATTTCCCCACATGCAGCACGGATTATGAAACAGAGCTTTTCTGCTTCATAAAACACACCGCATTACAGTTACGACAGTTGAGTCTGACCTGAGATGAATGAGCCTCGTGATTCATTCAGGGAAACGTTTGCTCTGCTCTCGTTATGTTTCAAGTTCATTGCCGAGTACCGTAACTGGTACAGTGAGAGTGACACATAAGCTTCCTCTGCTTTAACTGGTGCTCTCTTAATTACAAGACTGTAAGTTTATAGTATTCATAGGTCAGACAGAGATGATCCTCAGTGCAGAAGATTGTTTATGCTTCTTATGATTAAGACTCATAATTAGACAACAAACTCACATGACATGTAGTGTTTATTTATTGCAATCCATGAACAGAAAAAGGGAGTTTAAACTCACATAATAATAAATTGTAATAACACAGACGAAGAGTTTCTGAAATATTTATTCAAGGGGGATTAAAAAGACAAATGCAGCAGCAGGGCTGAAGTGCAGCGTTTCAGCTCTACAAACAGTGTCTATGAAGCCCTACGATGTACAACAGGTAATAAACAAACACGGTAACAGTCATACAGTAATACTAAGATGCACATTCTTCTTTCCAGAATGACTTGTCTGCAGTGCCTCGTCTCTGTTTCTACAAGCTAAGCTACTGTTTCTGCTAATGGCAAAAAATATAATACTTCAAATAGCGCGTCATCTCTCGGAAAAAATAAACAGCAGGGTTATTCCTTTTGAAAATAACAATAAAAATTCTGATCGTAGAGATTTATACAGCTTACATTGACTTGTTTTTACCTCCATAATCATTCCCTTAAAGGGATAGTAGTACAATGTCTAACAATATTTTTAAAAAGGCCTTGAATTAAAAGTAATAAATACATGTTTCTCGCCCCACCCACTTCCTAAAACTTAACCCCACTTTAAAAAATAGTATTATGTATAACAAATGGGACAAGACATTTGTGTTATTTATTAGCACATTATTATTCAGATTTCGACATAAAACAGGGTTAACGTATGCTCGAAAGTAAAATAATTTGAATCAATACAGCCTCATGGATGTGCTCACGTAACAGTCGCCTGAGAGATCCACATTCCCACCTTTTTATAATATGTTAGGACTTTTTAAAAAAAAAAAAGAGTCTCACTTTTCTCACATAAGGAATGTTGTCAGGCAGCCAAACTGTAAATATGGCGTTTTGTAAAATACAGATTTATTGGCAATGCGCTCCTGAGCACCACCTGTGCGTGCAGCAGCCTCCGAGGTGAAATTCCTCACTGGCTGTCAACACGTCACAGTCAACGCGCTGCACCTCTACCCACAATGCATCTTTCCACACACCTGAGAATCACTTTCCATCCCCATTTTTTGAACAGATAACTTTCAAGCTCTTATTTTTTCTGCGTGAAATTTAATGTGTTCACATACATATATAAATGTGTAAACATGGCAAAAGATTATCTGAATGGTGCGAAATAACTTCGTGTGGGGGATGCTGGAAGCGGGGTGTGCTGAAGGCTCTCCTGGAGCAAATACATATAACACATGTCTAAGCAATCTGAAATCATTCCTCATGGTGCTAAATCTGGTCCTGGGGCTGCCGGGAGTGGGTCAGAAGAAAAAGGAGAAGGGAATCTGGAGCAGAAGGCTGGTTGTCTCAGGTATGAACGCACAGGTGGGGGAAGAGAAAAAACGGCTAAAAATAATACTGTGGCTGATGGTCAGTGTTGCGTAGAGAAGAGGGATGAAGGCTGAGGGGACAAAGGTTCAAGGCTGGGTCACTGCACTGGGCTCCTTGTCATAGATGTAGCTGCCCACACCACCAGTGTTCACGCCTGGAAAAACCACAGGGACAGCAGTGGGTTGGTAAGGGGTTAAATAAAGAGGGTAAAGAGAAGGTACAGCAAGAGCAGGAGAGGTTGCAAAACATTTCCTGTACAAGCTCAAGAAAATCTGCTGCGTTGTAGGCAACTTTTATGATGAAATGACTCTTGAGTAACACTCGTTGTGTGCAACGTGTGCAGCACGGGTCAACAGCTCAGACATACGACATTCTGTTTTCAAGTGTAGCTGATAATTGGTGGGTTGACAGCACCACCTAGCGGTTACCTTTGGGCCCGAAGAGGACAGCATAGCAAGGTTTGTGGCAGTAGGGCTGGCCGTCATGCTGAAATGTAAAGAAATATATATATAATTAACACAATAAAAGTAAATAAATATGTTTTTTTCTGTCACAAAAGAGTCAAGGAACACTGCCTTGTCAAGACACAGAGGCTGAAAAGACTTTGTTGATTTTCTCACCACCACTATCCTATAGTGCTTCTGGTCTACTTTTTGTTGTTTTTTCTTATTTATTTATGCGTTTTCAGTTTTTAAACATGTTTTTTCTTGCAATTAATTCACTTGTCTGAATGTGCAGGAAAACGGGTGTGCAGTTGATACGTATTGGTCTTGTATTTTGTAGCCATTAAAGCCTTTTAACCTTTCTTTGGGGGGGCTTTTATTGCCTTTAATCGATGGTGACAGCGGTAGAGAGACAGAGAGGATGACCTGCAGCAAAGGGTCAGACTTCAACCCATAGCTGCTGCAGCAAGGACGTAGCAGGTGAGCTATCAGGGCGCTCAAGGCTTTTAATCTTTTGTACCTTGATGAAACAGTGACTTTTTTGGGAATGAATCCCGCTTTTTTGTAAACATTGGTATCTTCTTTTAATTTATCACCCTTATGTTTATTGTATTTTCTCTATTGACTATTACATTTTTATGTTTTTTTACATTTTATTGTTTCTATTGTATTAATTTTTAGCCTTGCAATACTTAATTTATTGTTGTTCATTTTTGTTTTTTATGTGTTGTTTTAGTTTTGCAATGTGAAGCACATCTTTTTTTTTGTATGAAAGGTGCCTTATAAATAAAGTTGAGTTGGTTGCCTGCACATCGCTGTCGAGACAAGAAGCGCTTCTTGTTTTTAAACCGAGCATTATACACTTAATGAGGCACACCAGTACAATCTAATGCAGTCCAATACAACAGCCTTACCATAACATCTACTTTTACAAAGCTTGTAATGTTCAGTTTGTCAGAAATGAGCAAATTCAATTAGTAGTTCACTGTTTATTTACCTAAACCTAGTTAAATGTTGGTGTTTCTAATTACACCACCACTAACGATGACCTCAGTAATAAGACATAAAACTGAACTAACACAACTAAAACACAGGCGTCATATAAGTAACCTTCTTACAGTCTTTTTTTTCCCCCTTCAGATTTTCCATCTACTTTCTCTCACCTCTGCGTGGCTGCCAGGAGCCAGAGTCTTGCTGCACCTCTCACAGCGGAGGCAGGGTCGATGCCAGTCCTTACCCAGTGATGTCACCTTCTCAGCTATTGTGATACACACACACACACACACACCTGTGAGACACCATAGCAACCACTTTGCAAGTTCACACCTTTTCCCCTCAGCTTGTTTCCTGGAAGTGTGGAACTACTCACCAAAATACACCTTCTTGTTGCAGCGGGGACACAGGTTGGCCTCTCCGGAAAAAGTGGTGATGCTGCCAGCTGCTGACACATTGCAGACACATTACAATGCTGGGAATTGGTAAAACTGAAAAGGCACGGCAAGCTAAACTGTCCAGTTGGGTGTGAAATCTAATGCACTAATACTGTAGGGGTATAAAAATGTGCTAAACAGCTTTTATATGTTTCAAAGGGGAATTATCAAGTAATGAGGCTAATTTTGCCAATTTAGATATTCTGGCTGCCAAGTTAAAAACGTTCACTCCCTCTTACAGCGGCCAATCATGAGGGCCGATGGAGGTTTTTAGCCTCTGTGTAAGCTGTGCTAGAAACTGCAGGTGGCGCCAAAAGGCAAAGACACAACCTCTTCACACAGATTCAACCCTGCTTAAAACAGAGACTCTAAATGAACAAAATAAAACAGTGTCTTATTTTTATAGTGGTTCTGTTGTATGACTGACTGAAAGCTGTGATACAGAATGCTGCATTATAATAAAATCACTTCTCCTTTTTCTATTTGAGTAAAGCAAGTCATAAGATCTCACATCTTCTGATAAACTGTTTTAAATTTCAGCCCCCCCCCACACACTGAAAGGATTTAGATTCAGAAAGGTAACAAAATCCTAAATCACTGATTTATGGGGGTTTAAGTATCTGTAGGGGGATGTAAAGAATTTAAAGAAAGTATGCAATATCTCAAGTTACATTATTAAGACTATTGAAACACAGTTTACTGCTGACGTCTGCCTGGTTTCATCTTTTAAACCTAAAATAAAGGAAAATTCAATATAAGTAATATAAGAAGTTCCTCCATGCTGGTAACAATCTGTTATTGAATTCAGTTGCATTTCGCCTGCAGCAGACAATCTGATTTCACTGTTAACTGATAAAGTAATATTTCCTATATTATATAGTATCGACTTGAAAAAAGTCAACTTTAGTCTTCTGTTCTGCCGTTCCTCAGCTTTCACGTCGCCTACATTTGGTCAGTTTTAACAGATTGACACCCAATTGAAATATCCAGACAATGTGGCTTTAAACAACCAAGTGGAAGGAAAAGGGCCACTAACTGAAAACTGCACAGCCAAGATAAATCAACCAAAAAACACCCATTTTTTCCAGCTGACATGGGATTTCCCAGAACTCACACCCTATCTAAACGTCTGAGAAAATCCTCTTCAAGTCCCGAAAGACTTCATGTATTGATGTTCTTATCATTGAGTCAGCAGCAGCTTTCCGTCTGACCTACAGCTTTGTGAAAACACCAAAATCTAAAGTGGCAGGCACCTCCCTATCAAGTAGTTTTTTTCCCCCAGTCAAGAACCACAATGTTCAGGACATACAGTATGAATATAAACTCGTTTTTCTCATTTACCTTTCGATGCTGCCTTGGGTGCGAACACTCGTTTCTCCTCAGCTTTGGGGGCTGAGTCCACACTAGTGGGAGACGGGTTGTTGTTGGCTGGAGTATCGTACACATAAGAGCCGGCTCCACCAATGTTCACACCTGAAAAAGATGCAAGAGGAGGAGGAAAAAAAAAATAAATAAGAGGAAATGTTAATTTGACACATGGTACTGAGATCTGTACTGAAACATTATAACTGACTCCATTAAGACTAAAAATAAATGATTAAGTGACTGAATAAATCAATAAATGTATAAATAAATGCCAAAGTAAATACATAAATAAGCATTTTAATGTATAAATAAAATAAATGCATAAATAAATATTCAATTCATAATTAAATAAGCACATTTTTAAAGTAAATATTGGTATCTGATATGATCTGAACAGTCAATGAATATACAAATAGATAATAAATACATGTAGGTTTGTAAAAATGTAGAGATTAACTAAAGACATGTATTTTTTATGTATTAAGGTCAGCATTTTTTTTTTATGTAATTACTTATTTATTTCTTTCTCCATACTAAAAACTCACATTTTCCTGTATTTAACCAGGTAAAGGTCTCAATACAGACTTGGCATAGAGCAACAACAGAGTTACAACAACAAATACAAACATAAACAAACTAAGCCAACTGTCACACACTACAAAATAATATATAACATATCCGGTTAGGATGCAGTAAGAGAGTAGTGGTAAAGATGCATAAACATACTGTATGTGAATGTGAATAAAATGACGTGTATTTCACCTTTTGGCCCAAAGAGGGCAGCATAGCACGGTTTGTGGCAGTAAGGCCTTCCATCGTGCTGTGAGAGAGACAGAAAAACACAGTGACAAACAGATAAAACAAACTGACTCAATAGGCATTTAAGGATTAAAAAAACACACCTGATGACGCAAAGAGGAAAATGCAACTGTGACGTGAGATGAGAAGTCATGTTTTGCACACATTTTTCTGACATGATATAGTTTGGTTTTAATTTTTTTCCCATGATTTTAAGAGGAGATGGAGTTATTGTGTCCTAAAATGGAGACTTTTTCCATCTCAACACATAAGAATGACACCGGCTGTATCCGAGAAACAGGATTCTGTTGATGAGTTCAACGGCAAAACTTCAGTACAACCTACGCGTCTGTACACGCGTGACCCTGAGAGCCATCTGAGGGGGCAGAGAAAGCCAGTCTAAGACATACATGGCCTGTCGCTTGATGCATGCTGGGAAAGTGGCGGTCATTGCAGGAGCATGTGATTATCTTAGGGGTAGGGGATCAGGGCTGAGGGCCAGGGTGGCCACTGGTCCAGAGCCTAATGCCCATAGAAGAGAAGAACCAAGCGAAAGCCACGGGCACGACGCCAGGCACTGGGTGGTAAGGACAAAAAAAGGGGACATACTACCCACAATCCTTTCTGCTTTGGCCACATGAGCTCCTTTTCCCCAGAAGACGGTGAGGCAGAAAAAAAAGGATTGTTCTCTCACCTTTAATAATGCATTACCCGTGACAGGATCAGCTACTGTTAAAGCAGCAACGCACTCCGTTCACACGTCCCGTTTGACATTTATGAGATCCGTGAAGGTTTGGGCGCCGATGCCAAGCCGTGACTAAGCACTGATGACTTTCTCAGGACAAGACACACAGGGCTTCATTGTCAAGTTAACAGTCGGCTGTACAGTATTCGCTGTGGCTCTGGTTGTGAGACATCAAGAGACAGAGGGACCCTAAAAATGGATTATCCATCAATGTGCAGCCCACTCTCTTCCCAGCAGTTCATTTCCCACATCCTGACACTGAGATCTGTCTCCTCCATCTATTTGTCTTTTCTTTTTCCTGACTTCCTCCTTTCCTCATCCTCCTCTTGAAGATGTGGTACTGTGCATGTTCTAGGACAGTGGTTCCTGACCTCTTTGGCTTGTGAAACCCCTTAAAACAAAGCCCTGTTTTGTTGTGACCCCTCGTCTGAGGTTAGGGCATTAAGCTGGGTACTTCCACCAAAGAGTTGTTTTTCCTTCTCAGATTACACCCTTTGAATGAGGCATAAGTGCTGAAAATACACCGTATTTCACAAGAAAATAATGAAAAAGTTGGAAAAAATAAACACTTTGGTGTAACAGCAATGTATTTTTTTAAAGAGGGAACTTGATTTTTATCAAAATCTGTTTATAGGTCTTGGGACTACTGCATATGAGAAAAGAATAACAGTATAAAGCCTTTTGTGGCTCCAGAGGGAGTT